CAGTGCGGTACCGAGCAGCAGTTCGCGTTGTCGGGTGAGACTTATACGGCTTACAGCGCAGATCATCGTCGAAGCGGTTTGAGACCAAGGTCACGTGTCAATTGTTGACGAATTAAAGTTACTGCCATGATAATGCGAGGGAAGAGGGTGGTAAGAGGGAAGGGCTGTCTTCGGGAATTGTCTTTGTCGGAAACTACTAAAGAAATAAGCCGTCATCGAAGCAGGTCAGTTGTGCTGACGGCAGAGCAACTTTTTCACTGTGCAATTAAAAAATTAAATCATTTTGCATTAGGTCCTCGTTACGAAGTAGCACATTCAAATAATTCTCGCTCAATACCATGAACACCACTACCCGTTCCAGTTTTATTACCTCAAACTAAATTGTATCGACGACAAACGATGAGGCAAATGATCAAAATAGTAAAATTCTCGTAATCGCTCGTTCTAGACATACTCCATTCAATACTGAGTCGAGCATGCGTGTTGTCTGAGTCACAACCTGAATTCTGCGTGCAATCATGGTCTGTTTCGTACCCAACTCACTGATGTTATCCTACATACCATGCACTAGTGTTGCTCAAGCGCAACGGAGCTGTGACATGTTTCAATGGTCACACATGTGTGTACAGAAGCAAATGGCAACGTAATATCCACGTATATCCTGGTGTAATGACTCTCGTTAAGCAAATTCTTTAATCAATAAGTAAATAAGCAAGTATATAAAGTTAGTAATAAATAAATGCTCCTTGAACCTGACATTTATCGTATCAAATGTAATAAAGTTTACTACAAGGGTATTTATAGACCACAGATTTTAAAAAAATTTTTTAGCAGGTATAGCACAGGAAACGATATCTAAGTCAGAAGAGAATACATGTACATTGGTGCATTTCTGTCCATTTAAAATTAATCGTGCATCTGAACGTGTCGGGATGCATAAGGGTCAGGACCATGTGAAATATAGCTGACGACCTATATCCTTCGGTTCTGAAGCATATAGAGTTAATTTCACTGGGGGTTCCACTTCACTTTTGATTCAAAGCTTGCCAGGACGTCACATATACGGCAAACAGTGACATTTTCATGGTGTATTATTTTACCGCGACATCATCGCGTTCAAGATCCTCTTCCGGTACCTCAGTTAGTCCCTAATCCTCCTGCTCTCACGTAATTCACAGTTAAAATATGGAAATCGAAATCGCTTCACCCCACGTCGTTTCTGTCATAATTAACCTCCACCATTTCTTCGGCACATTATCATACGTTAATTACCATTATTATTATTATCAAAAATCGATTCAAGGTGTAAAACGGATTGGTTCGCTTCCGAAGAAGAGAATGAAAAGAAAGCGCCCTGAACAGCATTGATAGGAAGCGCAAGACATTGTTTCGTCGCAGCAGATAGTTTGAGCAACATCACATTCGCTTCCATAGCGGTCTGCATGTCAAGAAACGTTTGCCTATAGTCACAGAGGGTGCCAAGTAACAAAATTGACACGGGAAAAGTAAAAGAGGCAAAAATAAAGGTCCATGGTAGAAGAGAATGTTTACGATCTGGTGTAGTAAGAGAGAGATTACAAAGCTGATCTGGAGTGGTGATTGATTTGTTGATAAAAATTTTTAAAATGACGGAATCATTATCAGCCAATCCTGGACAGTTCTGTGAATCTAACAGTAAACACTGAACCTAGTGACAGGCGGACTCTAGGAAGACCTCCAACACAAGTGGAGAGGATCTCGTTAGAGCTGACGTGGCA